TAAAAACTAAAATTTAAAACTAGTAAGCCTCCTAGCAACTCAAGTTCTTTTCTGAAGAATACCCCTTAACTAAGGTACAACCCACGTTCTTCAGCTAGACACACAGGAAATTCAAATCAGGCAAGTCATTGTGAGAAAAGATGAAGAACACTCTTCTCACCGCCTCGAGAGTGAAATACTCTAAAGCTGTTTCGCTGACGAGTGATTTTTAAAGCCTTATAACTCCATCTGCTGCTGCCCAGATCCTAAGATTTCCCTCAAAGTGCCAAATCCCATTCTCAAACCCAGTCCAGAGAGCTCTTAGGGTTATTTACCCTCCTGCAACAACAAACTAAAAAGCACATCTACTAAACTAATCTAGTAAGTCAGGCCAGTACTCTTGTGCAAAATACTTTATTAAAAAGAGAAAGGGTTCTCTGCAACAAAAGGTAGGTACAGCAGTCATCCTAAAATTAATTTTTCAAAGATTGCAAAACAAGACTAGATGGAAAACTGATAGCGTCAGTCATGGTCTTTGTCACAGATGGTCTTTGTCACAGATGTGTCTCCATCACATATTTTAAAACAGCCAACATGCCCATCACTTATGGCCACTGAGCTATAAAAACACTTTTCTGATGAGAGAGTTATAGGCACATTATCCAGATGGAGTTTTAACACGTTGTATCCGTGATGAAGTTGTAGTAATCCAAAATAATGCTACTAAAATGCTAAAAGTCTTATAGGACCTTTCATATTTTACAGCTTTTACAGGTTTCCTTTCCAGTTCTCATGCACCAGCGTAAAAAGCTATGCTTCCAAAAAATATATATATATAAAAATCTCAAATAAAAAGCAGTCTCTCTCAGCCGACATAAAAAGAACATCAAAGAACCTTATGATTTGGCCTTAACATGTGGAATGTCTCTACATATACATGAATAATCAGGGGTTTAGTTTTTCTTCACCTTGTGCATTATGGACATCAGCTAAGAACAAACATCTTGCACTTACAGCTAGCTTCCTGCTTGCCAAAATGAAGCAGGCAACGGGGAAGAAGTGAGATCAAGCTTACACAAAAGCTGGTTTAATTACCCATGGTAGAGCATGAATAATAAGGGGCAACTTTAAGAGTCTGAGGTAACTTGCATTCCTTTTGCAATAGCAGAACTAAGCTGTAGGCCTCTCTCCCACATGCTCATAACAGTTTAGTTGGAAACCCTCATGAACCTGATGCGTTTCCCAGTAGTTCAAGGTGATTCAGAGTGACACTGAAGTAGTTTCATGCAAAAAGGTGTCTGTTAACATAAATAGCCTCTGCATCAGTACCATACACTAGACATGGTCCTAAAATATCTAAACTGTTCACAGACAAAGTCTGATGTGGAATTAAGTTGGTAATCTCCATGCGGTCTTTGGTAGGATCGTTGCTTAGCCAGGCACTTACTACAGATTGGTTAACGGTATTGTGGGAAAAATATGTAGTACTTCTTCCTCCTGAAAGTGAGGGAAAGGGAAAAAAATTAGTTCCAATTTAGTTTAGTCTCAGAATTTGGAGAAACATAGCAACTAAAGGAGAGACATAACGGGAAAAGCATTTTAAATTTAAATCAGTTTTCAGATTAGCTAAATGATGTACTAGTCTTCCTGGTAAACAACAAAAAAATAGCTAAAAGCCAAGCACTTCAAATGTTTACAGAAGCCTGCTACCAGCTCTCTCCTCAGTTAAGAGGGCAAATAAGTCAGTACAACTAAGAACCCATCTCATTGAGCAAATAGTATGAGCAACTACAAGTTTTTCTAGCTGAAGACTAAAGCAATGGACCTATGAACCAAAGTCCACTTACGCAGTGGCCTTGCTATATTTGAGGCATCAGCTTTGCTGTAATAACATTTACTCCCTACTGTACCTTCTCTCTACCTAATCTGGAGAAAGTGATATACCTGGATTTGACTTCAAGCTTTTTCCACAAAAAAATTCAAATCCAAACTGAAGTTTTGCAGTTTGAGAACTATCAGCCAGTATAAAGCTTACAATGGTTTAAAATGGTGCACTTAAGGGGTTATGCAGTATACCTGAGAACATGCAGAGTGCGATTTGACTCTCAGTTATACTATTATTCCCCTGTACAGAACTCAACTTTGAATGGCAGCTTTGAGGCCAGAGGCAGAAGATATTTGAAAGTTCTCCACTTCCCCCACTTCAGAGTTTCCCCTCTGAAGTTGCAAGCAATTAAGCAGTCTGAGATTAGAATGCAAAAAGGCATTTTTACATCAGTTTCATGTCTTTGAAATCCTACCTTGACACAAAGGCATACAGTTTCACTCACTGACAATCTTCCACTTATGACTTGGAAAAACTGCCTAAAGATTAAATTCATAATTCCACTATCCCGTTAACTTATAAACTATATTGGTGTTACCGAATTTTATATAGCTCCCTCTGAGATTCAGGTAGCAATGTGTCATTTAGGCCTCTTTCATGTCTGGTCTGCACGGATGTGATTTAAGTGAACTAAATTTATCCCTGAAATTCTTTATGTGCCCCTTCACACACTAGACAGAGCACAGTGAGGATAGATAAAAAACACTGCTTATCCTCGTAAGTACTTAGTTGTCCTAGAGTGCCTACCCGTGTCTAAGAAAAGAAGTTGGATTTTTGTTTTCTGTATTGAGTTAGTAATAGAGAATATAAGATCAAGTGCTTTACCTAAGTTGCCAGATGACAAATTCAATGCAAGCTGACTTCAAACATCCTTACCTTGATGAAGGAAAGATGGTTTTTCAGAAACGCTTGTGGACGTATCCCAGTGCCAAAGAGATCCGTCTTCAGAACATGTAAATAAGTGATCTGGGTTGGAGGGATGGAAGTGAACTTCCCACACTAGAAGTAACAAGAGAAGAAAAAAAAAAAAACCCAAACACTAACAACAATAAAACACACATACTTATTGGCATGCAAACCATGCTCCTCATGATTTCTACACTGCTGTGATACTAAAAGGGGTTTGATACCTCAATTACACAGGTTATTCAATCCAACAGCAAATATGTTTAGTTACTATAAAACTATGAGCCTACTTCAGCCTACTGAAACTACTGAAGTTTATTTATGACAGTATAAAGGTAACTTTTCAAGTATCAGCTAGGATGGCTTCTTTCAATGGGGACAGCTGTCAAGATACAAAGCCATCGTCTCACTTCCTGGTATTTCAAACACGCTCATTTATCCAGCTAAGAAGTGCAGTAGGTGCCTCACAAAGGCCACCAAGGTCCTGGTATTGCAAAGTACAGAATCTAAAACTGCAATTCATGCACATGTAAAAAGGAATCACACATATAACAGTAAAATAACGCTACTACAGGTATTTTAAAAACAAACAAACCACACTCTTGGCCATATGCAGAAAGAAGCTACATAGCCAATGCCTTCCAGTTACACTAAGGAAAAGGGAAGGAAGACAGACTAATCAGCTCCAGTGAGAGAAAAGAGCTTCTAATAAAGAAGAATACTGCTTTCTGTTGGAAGTTGAAACAGGTTTTCCTTACTTTTACGGATTAATGAATCTAGACCTCAGGCTCTGAAGAGGAAAAAAACCATTTCACAAACATCAAATACCCAGCTCTGCACTGTGGCTAGTAAGTACATTCTATATCATACAAGAATCCAGGCCTCACCAAAACCTTGCATTCTTAAGGGGTAGGGGGGAACTACCATCAGTTATTTGCTGCAATCTTCCCTCCCCTGAAAAAGCAGATCACTCATTTTGCTGTACTTTCAACACTGTGAGAGTTGTTAGAAGTTAAAAGCTTGTCTGAATTCAGACATTCTCAATAGCTTTCTCATGCTTTCTTCCCTACTATTAAGTTTAAAATTTGCACACATCAAGCATTCCTTCCCAGAACAGTCATTTTGTGTCTAAATACCACAATTGTCAAAACAGTTAAGTCAGTAAAAGTTCTTATCTCAAGAAACAATGTACTCCCTAAATATAACTCTAGTATTGAATCAATAAATTGCCAGAACAGAAAGAGTCGCTACCTTCTTGTTCATATAACGGTACCAGGAAAGTGAACTGTTTCAGCATGGTGGAGGCATGAAACGGAACTGTACTATCTTCAGTCTCCTTCCTCAACCTCACATTTTCAAGCTTGTCAGTAGCTGAATTCCTGCTTTACTATGCCAGAATACTACAGCATGAATTTTTGCACTGAGACTATTAATACACTATTAACACATCTATGCTCTAAAAACAAAACACATTCTGATTAAATGCATCTGATGACTCATTAAACTGCTTACTAATTTTAGCTCAAGAAGAACAAGAAGAATTGGCTTTTGGACGGCAACGGTCTCACAAACAGACAAACAATAAACCAAACCCAACTGGATGAAGACACATTAAGGAGCTATAACAAAAGATAACTCTGCTGTTCCTATAGTATTTAAATTTTGCCCAGCACTTAAGATCCAGATACTTACTTTCTGCTTCATGAGCATTTAGCAGGGACACTGGCATCGTACCCTGCCTGATGTCCCATATACTCAGCATCCCATCCTGGCCCCCTGTGGCCACAATGTGCTGCTGATTAGGATGCCTGTCCACACAGTGCAGTGGAACTCTGTCACCTGTCCTGACAGGAGAAGAAAGAAATAACGTCAACTCTCCATTCAGCCTGTATTTTCTCCTTCTTAATCCCTAGGGGTTTTGACCAGCAATATAACCATACCAACTGCAAGTTAAGTGCCTGTCTTATCTGGTCACTACAGATTGGAACCATGTGACACCTGCTGGAATTCAGAGGTATAACAGTAACATGAAGCTACAACTAGACAAGTCTCAGGTTCAGTGCCCTATGGGATACAGGCACGGTATACAAGGGTATACACGTTATCTGGCAGCTCTACCGGAACGAGAAGGCTTTGCATACAGCCATTATACCAACAGCAATAAGAATGTTACTCTGAATTTCATGTTGTAATTTCAGTTTCAACATAAGAATTCAGTTTCAACTAAGGGTAACAAAGGGAAACTGGTCACCACCAAAATCAGGTACCTAATCCACAGCATGTTAACACTATGGGAATTATTTCACTGACAACAGGATTGGAATCTAGCTCTAAGCTTCTGCGTTTGTGTCTTTATGACACAAAGTTAATATTCAAAAACATTTTGAATGTCAAAGTTTAAACCAAGCTTGGGGGGGGGGGGCAAACAGTACATTTGATTGGGGAAAGGAAGATGTATTAATAAAAAAAGCCATTAAACAGAGCCTGAATTTGATGTTTACATACCTGAAAAAAGTTAAAAAGCCTTTTAAAAAAAAATCATAGTTACTTATCATCCTGTTGTCAATAAGGTAAGAAGGTTACCCAGAGATTACAATAGATTAAATAAGTAGCATGTGCTTCTTGGTAAATATATCAAAAAATAGAGGGCTTACAAAGAAAATATTTGAGATGGCTCATTTCTTTGCTGTCTGAGGTCCCATATTTTCAACTGTCCAATTGAGTTTACCGTCAAGATCTCAGTTGTGCGAAGGAAAGTCACTGCATGGAGTGTGCTGCTGTCCGCATTGTCTGCAAGAGAGATTAGGAAACCACTGAAGTAAAAATTCAGGTAAACACACTCAATGCTAGCCTCCACTTAATTGTCAGGAAATAACTGTTTTCTAAAACAGACTACAGCTGCTTATACAGCTACAACTTCTCTGCCTTTCCAGGGGCAGACACAGCCCGTTGTCATGTGATACTTTAAGTGTTGCAGGGGCGCCCTGCTGGGGGAGGGGGGAAGAAAAAAAGAGTCCTTGCTTCCTGTGTCACACAGCCCTGAGACACAAATCCATAAGAAGTTACACTGAATAGTTCCATGGCTTACAAATCTACTTTCTGTTCTGCAAGACTTCTTCCTATGGTTGCTAGGATCAGGAAACATTTAGTTAAAGTCTATGGCTTTCGTAAGAGGCAGTCTTTATACACTCTGCATCTACTGACACAATAAAGCAGGCTATGGAACTTTTCATAATGCAATTCTCCTTTTGAAAGCAAGAACAGTTAACTCTACCTAAGAACATTAAGCAGGTGTCTACAGAAGTCCTTACTTCATAAAGCATCAAAACCACACTTTTACATATTTTCCAAAAAGCATCAGCAGTATGATTATCCACTCATACAATCGGGGGGGAGGAGAAATTAGAGTACTGGGGTTGGAAGGGATCTCTGGAGATCATCTAGGCTAACCTCCCTGCTCAAGCACGGCTGGCTAGAACAGGTTGCCCAGGACCATGTTCAGTCAAGTTTTGAACATCCCCCAAGGATGGAGACTCCAGAGTCTCCGGGCAACCTGTTTCTGTGCTCAATCACCCCCAGAGCAAAAAAAGTTATTTTAAGTACATTTCCTGTGTTTCAATTTGTCTATTGCCTCTTGTCCTGTCACAGGATACCACTGAAAGGAGTATGGCTCCATCTTCTTTTACACCTTCCCATTAGGTCTTTATATACACACTGATAAGGTTTATACACATTGATTAGGTATTCATACACATTGATGACTCCCTCCCCCAAGCCTTCTCTTCCCCAGGCTGAACAGTCCCAGCTCTCTCAGCCTCTCCTCACATGAGAGATGCTCCCCTAAACATCCCTGTGGCCTGTTGCCGGACTTGCCCCAGTAAATCTATATCTGTGTTGTACTGGGAAGCCTAGAATTGAACACAGCACTCCAGATGTGGTTTCCACCACTGAGAAAGAGAGGGAAAGGATCACCTCCCTTGATCTGTGGCAACAGCCTGCCTAACGCTGCCCAGGACGCTGTTGGCTTTCTTTGCCCAGCCTGTACTGGTGCATGGGGTCATTGCTCCTCAAGTGCAGGACCCCTGCATTTCCCTCTGCTGAACTTCAGGAGGTTCCCCTCTGCCCATTTCTCCAACCTGTCAAGGTCCCTTCTGAATAGCAGGGCAACCATCATGTTTCAGCCACTCCTCCCACTTTTGGGTCACCCGTGGACTTGCTGAACTGTTGGTCCCATTACCCAGGTCATTAATGAATATGTTAAACAGTACTGGCCCCAGTATCCATCCCTGGGGGAACGCCACTAGTGACTGTTCTTAAAAGTCAAACCAAAATTTTGCTTTGCTTGTTAATCTTCGTAACTAACTAATAGTACAGACTTTTTATCAGGTCCTTTTCCTACAGTACTACTTCTGATCAGCGTGATTTACAATCAAATGTCAAACAACACTTCAGAGCATTGAGGTAAATCTTTCAAGGATTTACGAAAGCATGACATGGATACCATATTCTTTTTTTTTTTTTTTTATTACTTATATATCTCTCATCTTAATTATGATGGGGTCACATCATTAAGTCTACTTTTACCTAAAGCATTTTTAGATCCTTTGTTAAAGTTCACACTGAAAAGGTTTTTTTTTTCCCCCCTGTATAGGAAGCAAACTTTTCCTGGTATTTAGACAAAGTTACATTGCTTCCAGGCTACAGACATCTTTATGAGTTATCTTTTCTGCCTACTTTTAAAAGTAGGCGTGTGAGGGTGTGCCACCCTTAGAAAGAAAGGTTAGATTATTGACCACGAAAGTTCTAATGGATTTTAAAAGTGTTAACGTGACAGAATAGTAAGGAATTTATTTAGCAACACAGTATATTGATGGCTCCAGAATACTTTTACATCCTCTAATTTCAGACATTTTCTGCTAGGATTGATTGTAAATATATCAACAGAAAAAAGGCATTCATTTTAGCTACAGAAAGAGTCATAAAAGTTTTAGCAAAACATGTAGAGAGCTCAGCTTCTGCGGAATGTTAAGATGCCATTGTATTAGGAGTCTGTACTAAGGATTGCTTCCAATATAGCTATTTTACATTGTACTATCAAACGAGCACCAAGAAAACAACTTGCATCCTGCACATTACTAAAATTAAATGTAATCAGCTGAGCAATTGCTCAGGAGGACCCTTCCCAAACAAAACAAAAAACAACCTACACACAGATTTTTGTGGACATCTCTTTCTTCGCGTCAACAAAACACTATTAAACCTGTACCAGAACGCTCTGCATTAATACCTGTATAAACATACAAATTTAAGATTAGAATAATCCTTTTCAGGTAGTTAGGCTAGTCCCTCCCTTCCCCCTGCAAAAAGGGGGAGTTACTCTGCGTTTTGTGGGTACGTACTAATAAAAATCTTCTGCCCTGTGCCCAGGAAAGGGATAGATGTAATTAATAGGATTTAATCTTGTGAGTGCATGTATACAGCCATGCTTCCACAGATAAGTAACTCTCTCTAGAAATCCCAAAGTTCCTTCTTCCTTTATTGGCTTATCAGTGTAAATTCCTTCATCTACTAGAGGTGAGATTTTGCCTGAGGAGAAATACAGGAGCTGAGTCAAACTGGAGTTTCATGGAGAAAGTTCCAGCTTGATAAGACCATTATCGAGCATAGCATTGTTGCCCATCAAACAAACTTTCAATCAGAAGTGATTTCATTCCCAAGAGCTGCTACAAACTTGAATTTTATTTCCATGGGACTATCATGGCAAGAAAAATAACTAAGTCTATGAAATATGTCAAAAGAATCTGTTACTCTTGCAAATATGGATCTTTTTCCACTGTGAAAATCACCACAAGCCATGGAATCTGGTAGAACAGGGTACAAAGAGTGGTTTCTGGATCTGTAATCTAAGTTCTTAGCATCCCTTTAGACAGGCAAAAGTAAAAAGATATTTTTGAATGCGGTTGGCACATAGATTAGTCTTCCGACACATAAACAAATCTAAGTGACCACCATCACCAACTCCCAGTTACAAAGAACTCTGGAACTGATACCTTTTGCAATATAACGCTATTTCATACACATAAGCACCACAGCATTTAGCAGTTCTACATGAAGCAGAAGCCTACAGACAGTTTTCAGCTTGAAATTTGTCCATCAATTAAAACATTAACCTAAAAACATCTGAAGTTTGGAGAAATATAGGAATATGTCTAAAATATCTGAAATTTGACAGAAACATTCAGCTTGAAATATTTACTTCAATTCTCAGATCTCCTCTTTTGGGTTACCCTTTGAGAAGCTAAAAAACCACACAGCTCCAAACCCAACTAGTTTAAGACTTATTTGACATACCTATATATTTGACATACCTATGGTTCTCACTGCATCCTTTTGGTCAGCTCTAAAGAGATTTATTCTGCCATCTTCTCCAACAGTGACAATTTCTGGATTGTTGCAGATTACTCCAGTACATGCTGCACCACCACAAGATGCATCTCGATCCACATGATAATGAGCTTTCTCCCACCGCTGGTTGGCAGATAAAGTCTAAGTAGCAACCAGACATGAAATTCTCCTGGTAAGTAATGATTCTGACAGAGTGAAGCATCCAGATTACTGGAACCAGCTACTGGCTTTGTGAGTAAAGTCACACTACCCTACAGGAATGAGAATCTTCTATACAACTAGGAATCAGAGGATCTGCAGTTTCCCTTCTACTCCTGAGCATAACCAGGTATTTCTGGTTACCGTGTCTTCCCCAAAACCTCTTTTCCTACACAAGCTAAGACAAGAGAGAAAACCAAAATTATCTGTTCATGAACTGTGATGTGCTTTTCACATGACTTCTCTTTCCCCAGGCCAAAGGGAAAAGACCCTAATTAATCCTTTACAAAAATCTAAAGTCAGATTTAGATTCTGATCACAAGGAAATCAGTTTATTTTAGGTACCAGGTCAAACTATTAAGAGATATTACTCTTTATGGTGTCATTGTGGATAAACTAGAATTACTACACATACATCACTGAAAATGAATAACCTGAACAAATGAATAAAATTACAGAGTTTAAATATGTATCTTCCTTCACACACATCACACATCCTTCACATTTGTGAGAAGAAATTCAACAAGAGTCAATTACTTTTTTGGTCCAAGAATGCATAAAACTAATAAAGCAGGCACAGGTTCATTAATGGCCTCTTTCCCCCCACCCTCAGATTATTCTTTCATAACTAACTGAATCTAATCTCTTAAGTTATAATTTTCAGTGAATGGATTTTTTGGTTACAAATATATGCATAGCCAACCTATCTGGCTCTGGAATCTGATTTATTTGATAGGTGTATAAAGTGTTTTTTTCTCCTTCCTTATATGTATATAACTGAAGCTCTTCCTAACAGATATCAAGAAAATTTGATTTTGGTATACACATTTCCTGCTCTAGTAGCTCTGAGAAATCTTATGCCAGGATCAGTGACTTGCATTACACAGAAGGGCAACCTAAAGTCAGTCCAAGCGACCCACCTGATTATTTTGGTGATGACGGAATACAGTTACACTTCCTGTTGATGAAGCAACCACAATTCTCTCTTGATCCAAAAACTAAAGAGAGATAAGAAGCATGTTTATGAGTTGACATCAATACAGAGATGATCGTTTTGAATTTAGAGTAGCTTAAACTATTGCTATCTATAAAATAAAAAGCACAAACTTGTATTGATTAGTTCCCCCCCCTTCATTTTTTAAATCTCAATATTTTGACAGCTCTTTCTTACTTAAGTTCTCATGAGTGACAAACCTTTAATAAGAGTACACGCCTACTAACCAAAGCTATTTTACCTGCATGTCCATAACATCACCATTGTGCCTGATGTCACATAATAGCTGAGGTTCTCCTTGATATTCTCCATTGAGGCCCACATTTCCAAGATCTCCAACAGACCAAATGGAAATCCTGTTATCCTGTACAGAAATGACACCATCACTTTCACTTGAAAGTGTTTACAAAGGTATTTGACATTTAGTTAGCTTGGATTTCATGGCCTTCTCTCTGCAGCCTGGGAAAAGAAAAGGCTTAAAATATGTGTGCATATATATATATTCTATATATATTATATATATATATATATGTATTTAACTTGGAGAACTTTATTCAGAAAGATAAATCAGGCCATCTAGTCTTAAGGAAAAAGAATAAAGCAGAAACAAACACATACAGAAGCTCTTAGGAAAGAGAGCTTCGACTACAAACTTGGGCAGACGCCCGTTTTCAAACAAAGCCTGGCAAACATCAGTAAGAGAGAGCAGAGGCAAGCCCCTCGGGCTGCGCCCTCCCCTAACACGCAGGGCCGTCTCCGCAGCGGCCCGGAGCTGCGCTGGCGCCCGGCCTGGGCGATCCTACAGCCCTCCCTCCCCGTAGCCCGACCCCCCCCC